ACAGACAGTGCTCTTAGCTTGGTATAGGAAAAACGAGACTGGGCCACATGTGAGCAGACCCAGGTTCCAGCCTGATGCTGCTTAATTATAAACCATCTAGTGGATTACTTTTTAAGCCTCAATCCTCTCATCAGTAACATAAACATCAAAATTACTGCCCCGACTATCTTAAGAGTTTTTGCAGTGATCAAAGCCTCTGTCTTAGGGCTTACTACACTCGACTGCATTTATTTAGCTATGCAGGTGCCTTGAAGGTGGGAATTATACATTATTCAGGGAAAAGGGTTTGCCCCTTGATAGGTCCTCAGTAAAAGTTGGTTGAATAAATGAATGAAAGAACGGAGACTGGATGTGAAAGCACTTTGTAAATGGTACAGAGCTTATAGGAGAAGAAAACAGCAATGATGCTGACCCCACTAAACACTTCTGTTAAGAGTCAAAGATCATGAGGACTTCCCTGGCGGTGCAGTGGTTAAGAATCCGCCTGCCAATGCAGGGGTCACGGGTTCGAGCCCTGGTCTGGGAAGATCCCACATGCCGAGGAGCAACTAAGCCCGTGTGCCACAACTACTGAGTCTGTGCTCTAGAGCCCGTGAGCCACAACTACTGAGCCCATGTGCCACAAATACTGAAGCCTGCGCGCGTAGAGTTCGTGCTCCACAACAAGAGAAGCCACCACAATGAGAAGCCCACGCACCGCAACGAAGAGTAGCCCCCGCTCGCCACAACTAGAGAAAGCCCGCGCACAGTAACGAGGACCCAACACAGCCAAAAATAAAATAAATTAAAAAAAAAAAGAGTCAAAGATCATGAGAATTTACTGTATCTTTGTAGAAGAGAATTCACCTGCAAAGAGATAATTTTAATCTGCCTTTTGGGGTTCAAACTGCTCGTTCTTCTTTGGCTCAGAAATTGCTTTTCATAAACAATTCAATCACTTCCCGTGGCTTTTAAGATAAAACCCCAAATCCTTGATTGGAGCGACAGCATCTTGCCAGGTTTGGCCTTGAATTGCCTCACTAGCCTCCTCTCTCACCCCCTTTTCCTTCATCTGGCACTAGGGCCACACTGGCATTTAGATCCCTGAAAGGCCGATGTTCCCTCTCTGAGCACCAAAGCTTTGAACACATTATTCTTTCTGCCAAGAAAAATCTCCCGTTCTCTCGTCTAATACTTAATGCCTGTTCCTCCTTTAAGGCATAGATGCCAGGTCTCTTACCCACTGACACACTCCTTGGCCTCTCAAATTAGTCTGCCGTATAACAGCACACCTGTACCCGCCTCTCCTGCAGAGCTGTTACCAGAGTTCACAACAGTACAACGACCCACGGGATTACTTGCTTATCATCTATCTCCTCCACACATGGTCTCCTTGAGGGAAAGGGCTGTGTTCCATGTTTGTTCACTGTATTTTATGTAGTCCCAGCACAAGGTTATAATGTCTGGCGCATATTTAATCTCAAGAAGTCCTGTGGATTGAACGACTGAAGCAATGTTTCTCAATGTCTATATTAGTAAAAAAGTAACTACTATGTTTTCTGTGTACCTTTTTTTGTTTTGAATTTTTCCAAAGAAGGTTGCCTAACTTTGACGAAAATGAGGTTTTGAACTATGAGCAATTGAAATCCCATACACTGTGACAGGATTCTAAAGTATTTCCCTGATAGGATCAAAATTATGACTTAAAATTATCAACATAAGCTTATTTTTCATACGTTCACTTACTTATTGAGAATCTGAAGATTTTTCCTCCCTGAAGTCAGGCTCCCACCCACTGTCATTAGGGATAAGAGCACCAGTTGCCACTGCGGGGCCTCTGGCTGAGATGTCTTCTAACCAGGTGTGAGCCAGGGACACAGCCCCAGAAAACCCACCCCCATCAGGATTTTGTGGCCGACACGCTCTCAGGTCTTCTAGTTAACTCTTGATCCAAAGAATACTTCTTTGTGTAACCATAAAGTTACTGTCTGCATATTCCTTCTCATGTTCCATGTCAAAATTATACAACATGACACGGTCTTATTTACATGACCAAGGCAGGGGCATCTCTATGACTGACAAAAGCTAAAGGAGTCTTCTTCCTTGGGGCATAATGGAGATTTTATGGTGTTTTAATTCTGCTTTTTTTTTAATTCTGCTTTTTTTAGGTCAGCTTTGAAATCACATCACGTGCCTGTGACCCAGGGCTGAGGAAAGGCTCCTGGAAGACAAGCTCCCTCCTACAGAAGGGCTGCTTCCTTTCATCAGAGGACACAGCTCCCCAAGCTCCCCAGTGATTTATATGCCCTGGTGTGTTACTGAGGAGATGCCAGTGAGGGCCTGAAACAAATCTTCCTCCAGAATAGGAAGTAAACCGTGGTCTGCGGGACATATGGCACACAGCTCCTCAAAGATTAATGGGAACATGAGACTTTGCTGGGTCCTCGGACCAGGGATGATAAGGGTGTTGGAAACAGTACCTCCTCTCAGCTTTGAAGTGTCCCTGACTACAAAGGTTTGAGGAAATTTAGAGTGAACAGGAATCCCCAAAATAAGGTTTGGCAGGCAGAATGCCTATTGTAAAGAATTCCCTAGACATATATAAGCAAGGTTTCAAACATCTTCAAACCGATGCAGGGGAGTTCAGGGACCCTTGAGAAGCTGGTGATACTTATTTTGTAAATTACTGAGACGGGGAACGTCTTCTGAGGCTGCACAGACCCAGCGGATTTGCACTGTTCATCACATGAGCACTGCGGATGGAGATCACACCCCTCAGCAGTTTGGGGAACCACAAATGCAGGTCTCCCAGGTGAGCGGGGCCCCTCTTGCACCTGTCCCCGGCCACGTCCTTCACCTGTTTCCACAGCTACACTCTCCCCAGGCCCCCACCCGTTTCCCTCTGTCTCTCAGCAGATGTTTCATTCCACACTTCATAATAAACTTAAGGCCAGTGGGTATCACTTCACTCCATTTCCCAGTCCATCCCTCCTGAGATCTCTACCTACACCTGTGCCCATCCCCAACTCTTTTCTGCCAACAGAGAAGAGGGCGTGGCCCTTCTGTTCAAGTAGAATTACACTCCCCATGCTTTGGACTTGTCTCTCTGGCAATTCCTCGCTCCTGTTTTCATGTCTCCTCCACTGACTACTTTCCTGCAGCATATAAAGGGCTTCCTCCCCACTGATCTCATCTGCTTCACGGCCACGCTTCTCGAAAGAACACTTCTCACCGTCCCTGCACTCCCTCACTTCCACTCCCTCCAAACCTGTAACTTCCAGTGGCTACCCTGCTTGCCCTCTTCCCACCATCTGCCATCCTGTAAACTCTCTCTCTCAGGGGCTTTCCTGTTTCTGCCCAGGTTCTCGCCCAGCCACTCTCCTGATCCTTCTCAGTCTGTTGCTGCATGACACTCACATGTTGGCGTTTCCCAAGGTTAGGCCTGGGACCCTCTTCTCCTCCCTTATAAGACCTCTCTTGGTAAGCTCACCTTCTCTTTCATTCATTCAGTCATTCATTTATCTGTATGATATGTATTCAGATCTCATTGTGTTGGCAGGCGTTCTGCTGTAGGCTGTGGATGAATAAGGCAGGTGTCTGACTGCCAGGAATCTTGACTTGGTAGGAAATCATTTACAGAAGTGAATGCAATTAAATGGGGGTGGGCAGGAGACTTCACAGGGGTGTAGGGAGAGAATCCCTTGAGAGATGAGACAGGATGTGCCAGCAGGACTGGGGAAGAGGGCAGTTAAGGAATTCCAGGTAAGGAAGTAGCATTCATAGCACATGCTATGGAGTCAGGCAGGTCTGGATAAAATCCCAGTCCCTTCCCTTGTAACACATGGGAATTAGGCCATGTTCCTTCTGGAGATCTCAGTTTTCCCTTCTGTAACATGGAGGTGACAGTCCCTGTCTCGTATGGCTGCTGCAAAGGTTAAGTAAGAATGAATGTAAAGTGCTTAGCACAATGCCTAGCACACATTAAGCACTTATTAAATGATAACCATTATTATCACTGTATACATTTATAACTTTAATATGTGTGCTGTAACCATTACAGTAGGACCTACTTCATAAGCCTGTTGTGAAGATCAAATGCACTAATATATGTGAAAGGACTTTTAAAAAGTTCAGCACAATATTATTCAGCCATAAAAAGGAATGAAGTTCTGACACATGCTACAACATGCATGAACCTTGAAAACATTATGCTAAGTGAAATAAGCCAGACACAAAAGGACAAATGTTGTATGATTCCACTTACATGAGATGCCTGGAGTAGGCAGATTCAGAGACAGAAAGTACATTAGAGATCACCAGGAGTTGGGGAGAGGGGAGAATGGGGAGTTATGGGTTTAGAGTATCTGTTCAGGATGACAAAACATTTCTGGAAATAGATAGTGGTTATGGTTTTACAACATTGTGAATGTATTTAATGCCACTGAATTGTACTGAAAAATGGCAAATTTTAAGTAGAGCAGAAAGGAAATGCTAGGTTCCTGTGCCATTTTCAAGAAAAATATTATCACTAACATCCAGAGTAAGACAGAGACAAATCAGGACATCTGAACTGTTCAGGTGTTTAAAACTGTACTTATATTTGCAAAGTTTCACGCACTACTAGGATTAATATGTATATTTTACACTTAGCAAATTTTCAAAAGAGGTGATTAATCTAGGGTTGACAATATGATTGTCCTAAGATCTGGACAGTTAGATTACCTTCCATGTAAAGAAGGTTAACAATTTTATTTCATTTTTGACCTGGATTTAGACCCAAGATGGGCTTGCTTAACTGGTGCTCCCCTCTCATAAACAGTTGCAAAGTACGCTTTGAGATACATACTTGGGTTTGAGAATTTATAGCCCATTGAAGATGTAAAAGTGGATACACATGTGCCCTCACACAGAGACAAGACATTCAGCATTTAGAAAACTATGTTTAGAAACAGACAACCACCAAAACCTTAAAAAGGGACTGTTTCTTTGGGCTTTGGCAGGAACCCTCGCGGCTCACTGACCTGTGTTCCCTGACTGTTGATGTCGATGGCGTCGCTCCACTCACTCGTCGTTTCCTCCAGCAATTCTACTCTCAAAAGGAGGCTGGGGAGTAAGTCTCTGGTCCTGCAGTCTGGATAACTGGAAAGCTGATGATACAGCTCATGATGAATTGAGCACTCAGGAGGAATTCTTCTGCAATAAACCTCACACTTTGGAATATCTAAAATTGAAAAAAGAAAGGCATATGCAGACTTAGGCCTTGAAGAAAAAGACTTGGGGATACTAAACGTAATGGGGCAAGAGAAACTTCTCAGAGAAGCTCACTTTTATTTGAGGGTCACAGGTAACTACGAAGTCAAAAACCTCCAGAAAGAATATAGGTTTTGTATTATTTAAATTCAACATTATAACATATACCTTTAGTATTTTCCTTTATAAGTACTGTTACTGGACATCTGTTGTGGAAAATTATTCGAGGACTAGGGTCTTCTGAGAGGGTTAAATAAGTCACTCCAAAGTGCTCTTGATATGTCAGTGCTATAGCCCTAGAACAGAATCAAAGGATAGAAATGGTTTAGAAAAAAATGCATGCTTTCTCTCCTGATACATGTTTATTTGGATCTGCAATATTCAGAACCTCTATAACACCTTCTCTCTTATACATCAGAGGAAATGTTTTCCAGAGAATGGATGGGCATCCACTTATCTATTACCTGCCAAACACTAATGATAGGTTTACTAATTTTTTCTGACAGTAGTAAACATTTTGGTTATAAAATATTCAAAAAAATGTGAAAGATCATATACACACTACTATATTTAAAACAGATAACCAACAAAGACCTACTGTATAGCACAGGGAACTGCTCAATTCCGTAACAACCTAAATGGGAAAAGAATTTGAAAAAGAATATGTATAACTGAATCACTTTGCTGTACACCTGAAACTAACACAACATTGTTAATCAACTATACTCCAATATAAAATAAAAATTAAAAAAATAAAATTAGGTTAAAAATATAAATAAAATAAAACCCTCATAACTCCTACCACTCGGAGAGAATTACAGATATCCTTGTGCTAGCTTTTCCTCCTCAAAAGTGCTTGGTAAATTTTGGCAAAGGAGGAGTTGATGTGCTTCTAGAAGGACGACTAGAGAATCTGGGTACTTGCTCTTTTTTAATTCTAAAGGTAGGTATGCTCAATATGTTTGTTGTCAATTTTTGCCAATCATCGTGCTTTACAGGATCTCCATTTTGACTACAAAGAGCAAAGCTGTATTTACTATTTGGCCTCAGAGAAACTGCTGTGTGGCCGTAGGCTGACCTCTACAATGGACAGAGAGAAAGGCTCCAATTTAGACCTAGAGACTACCAAAAAGTATTTCATAACAAAGCAGGAAAAAAATTCTCTCTGAAGCTTAAATTCTGTGGGCCGATTGTTGAAATTAATCAAAGAAATCAGATATTTGCCAAATGTGGCCCTCAGTTTCCACTTATTATAAGGGGTCAATGACACACTGAAGAATTTCCCATTCATTACCTATTCTGCTCGCCAGTGTGAGTTCTTCCCAAAGCCTGTATATTTGTCTGAAATGTCAAGGTGAACTGTCGATTAGTATTTGGGGAAATCATATTAATAACTAACTAACACCATGACATGTGCACTGCTGGACTGCAGGGAGGAGAGGAGATGGAACACTCTCTGAGCGTCAGTCTCTGCATTAGCACCGAAGTCCTTCTCCCAGCCTACCTGTGGAAGAGCTGGGCAAGCCAACCACAGAGAATGCTCTGCCGATAGCCAAGAGCTGGGGCCAAGACTGAAATACGGCACTTCCAATGTAATATCTAGCTTAATATGTACAGATGAAGATTTAAATTAATAAAATCTTAGAATTTTAAACTTAATTTCTAAGTGTTTTATTTTACATTTTGTCTCTCAGTTTTAAAAATAAGTTTTGTTTTCTATACATAGGTTCACATTGCTTTCAAAAATACTTCCTTATTAAACTTACCACACTTAATTGATGGAAATGTTCTATATGTTGATTGTATCAACGCCAATATCCCAGTTGTGATATTATAGTTGAGTTTTGCAAGATAGGGGAACTGGGTAAGGGATACATGGGACCTCTCTGTATTATTTCCTATATCTGTATGTGAATCTACGATTATCTCAAAATAACACTTACTAGAGAATGGACTTGAGGATATGGGGAGGGAGAAGGGTAAGCTGGGACGAAGTGAGAGAGTGGCATGGACATATATACACTACCAAATGTAAAATAGATGGCTAGTGGGAAGCAGCCGCATAGCACAGGGAGATCAGCTCGGTGCTTTGTGACCACCTAGAGGGGTGGGATAGGGAGGGTGGCAGGGAGGGAGACGCAAGAGGGAAGAGATATGGGAACATATGTATACGTATAACTGATTCACTTTGTTATAAAGCAGAAACTAACACACCATTGAAAAGCAATTATACTCCAATAAAGATGTTAAAAAAAATTTTTTTTTGAAGTATGGTTGATTTACAATATTGTGTAAGTTTCAGGTGTACAGCACAGCAATTCAGTTATATACATATATTCTTTTCAGATTCTTTTCCCTTATAGGTTATTACATAACGGTGAGTATAGTTCCCTGTGCTATACAGTAGGTTCTTGTTGGTTATCTACTTTATACATAGTAGTGTGCATATGTTAATTCCCAGCCTCCTAATTTATCCCTCCCCCCACCCCGCTTTGGAAACAATAAGTTTTTTTTAAATAAATTTATTTATTTATTATTTATTTCTGGCTGCATTGGGTCTTCGTTGCTGCACACGGGCCTTCTCTAGTTGCAGCAAGCGGGGGCTACTCTTCTTTGCGGTGCGCGGGCTTCTCATTACGGTGGCTTCTCTTGTTCCGGAGCACAGGCTCTAGGCGCGCGGGCTTCAGTAGCTGTGGCACATGGGCTCAGTAGTTGTGGCTCGTGAGCTCTAGAGCGCAGGCTCAGTAGTTGTGGCACACGGGCTCAGTAGTTGTGGTGCACGGGCTTAGTTGCTCCGCGGCATGTGGGATCTTTCCGAACCAGGGCTCGAACCCGCGTCCTCTGCATTGGCAGGCGGATTCTTAACCACTGTGCCGAAGTCCCAAGTTTGTTTTAATTAAAAATAAAAAAACTCACCACACTTAACTTCTCCAACCAGAACATAAGGACAAACATTCCTCTCGAGTTAGGGGTGAAAAGTGTTTATAAAATCATGGATGTTTGTGAGTGTTGTGAAAGAAGAAGGGATGTGTGTAGGGAACAGAGCCTTAATATTAAGGATAACTCGAGTCAGGAAGTTATCTTTTAAAATATTACTACTAGAAATCTCTATATACATCAAAGTTAAGATGGCTAAAATCTCAAATAAAGTCTATAAATTCATAATCACGAAAAAAGGTACCTCTCATAAGGTTACAATATGTTTTCTTTTGTACTTTTTATATATACCATAAATAAGTTATTCCTGACAGCTACAGAAAGGACATATTGCATGCAAAACGACCGCAAAATAAAAGTCCGGTATGAACAAACCATTACATGTCTCTGGCTTGATTCTGTGGTTGCTATTTGCATAATTGGTAATTGGTAATTGGAGTAACTTGCGTGCAGGAACAACCACAGAACAGAGTCTTCTGTGACTTGTGTTTATCTAAGTTATCTCTCTTAATGACTTGAGAAAAATTCCATTTTGAAGTAAAAGTAAAATATGGGAAAAGAAAAGGTTTTCCAACTTGACTCTCTCGTATTTTAACCCTTATTTCTTATCACTTGACAGAGGCTAAGAAGCCATAAAAGAAGGTGATCTTTTCATTATGATAGATTTCTGCTATTCTACGGTACAAACATCGCATTTCCCCCTAGTAGAAGCTGCATAAGGGAGAAATCTCATCAGTAGTACACTGGGACAACCCATGTGTGATCATAACATTTGCCCAGTTGTATACAAAACCTAGAAGCCATGAAAAATAAAAGCAAAACCTAATTTTACATGTGGTGAGCACTGCAAATATTCTCCTATTCCTCCCGGCACCTGGATGAAGCAAAGAAGGACATTCACATAAATGTAAAATACCTGGTACAGAATCCATTTTCCCTATAGTTCCCGAAGGGCACTGACACACTCTGTCTGGGAAACTCTTGTCTAACTAGAGCTGGCAGGCTCCAGCACTGTGAGCTGTCGGCAACTGCGGCAGGAGAGAAGGCCAGCAAGATCTGTTTCTGAAGCAGGGATGCATCCAGCGCTGACTGACTGATATCAGGCATTAAGTCCCAGCAAGGAAGGGAGCTGGATTTCACAGCAGGCTGCTCGCCACCTGGGCAAATGCTGAAAGTAGCACTGTCTGGAACATGAAAATACTGAAGAAAGAAAAGACAATGCAGAGAGAGCACAGTTACTACAGTCATACAGAGAAGTTACACTTTTTAAAGCACAGCTTCTGAGAAACCTTAACATATATTCTCAGGAGGTGGCCAGGTGGGGGACATGGGAATATTAGAAATCCTGTTCCCATGAGAAAGCTCTAATGAGACAATTACAAGGAGCAGGAAGAACAGGGTCGGCTTTTCTAGGCATAATGAAACATGATAAAACTGGTGTGACTTCAAAGGTGATGCAAAGTTCTCAATACCCCCAGGTACTGCAAAGAAAAGCCATGCCATGTGGTACAAGTGTTGTTTGTTGGGAGGGAGTCCTCCTAGAGAGGTGTGGCTGGACTGAAAGGGTGGCACCCCGGGGGACCTTGGGCAGAAGAGATCTGAATGAGATACAGAAGGGTAAACTGGGGGCTCAGAAGACAAATTTTTTTGAAAGCTCATCCTGAGGGAGCAGGAAACTCTGATCTCCAACCCTCTGTTGGAATTCCACATGGTTTCTGGCACATTAGAGAGTCTCAGGATTGTAGACATAAAAAGGACCTTTAGCGATAATTTATTTGGCCCTCCGCTTTCACAGCTGAGGACGCTGCTTCCCAGAGTGCAGATGATTTGTCCAGCATCACAAAGCCAGCGTGTGGCAAAGCCTAGCCAGCAGCCAGGCTTCCTCCTTCGCTCTTGGGCTGTTTCTCCCACTGTCCCAGACAGTCTCCCTGAGAGGGTAGGGATTACCATGTCTTTAAACAATTCCAACACCTGCCCGAAGCAGGGTCGGGGTTGAAAAAGGGGGCCCCCTCAGCTGCAGAAAGGATGGGGGCCTTCCCCTTCTCTCAAGGAGCCCATTGTGATGCTGGTATTGAGGTGACTGCTGGCAATTCTCCTTTCCTGAGTACCCAGCCTTTTTACTCATATTACCTCATTTAACCTTCACCCAAAACCTGCAAGGAATGCAAAATTATGCCCCTCTTCAGATGAGGAAGTGTCAGTGTCGAAAACCCTGACCCAATGCCTCAGGAAGCCCTAGGGTGGGGAGAAGCAGGAAAATTATCAGGGCTCATGCTGGATCTTCCCTCAAATCCTCGCCTACAATGCAATTACTGTTGACCTCTACTTCCCACCAGGGTACTTCTGGTCACCTATTTATTCTATCAATACTTCAACGAACCAAGATGAAATTCTATTACTCTGACATTTTTATAAATACTATAATGCACTGTAGGCTTAGAAGAATAAGACTTTCATCCTACTGTATTGCTCTAATGTAATTTTTAGGAGCTGAAAGTAAGGGCTAACAATAAATTCAGATGAAAGTAAAGAAAAATAATACTTTTCTATATGATGGTTTCAATAGCGTAAAACAATAGATACCACTTAGCATATTCTGTTTTCAAATCCTTTTAAAATATCTCCTTACTCTCTTAAAATAAAACTGTTCATCTGAACTGTATAAAGAATTGAATATTGGATTCATTTGCCGCGTATTCTGCCATAGAGACGTTAACATAAACGAGCTGGTACATTTTCACATTTCCTCTCCTGGTGGACACAGAGCTCAGCGCTCCCAGATCTGGGGCTCCGTTGGGGCTGAGCCTTCTTCACACAGGGCTCCTCCAGGCACGGTGGCCTGCGAGGCAGATGTTCTTTTCCAGGAGCCTCTGAGCCAGTCCTCAGGCCCGCTTCCTGCTGGCGGGGCCTTGTGTTAGTGAGCTCTGGCAGAGAGCGCGGCAGCCTCGGGGGCAGACGGGGCCGGCAGCACCCAGCTGCCAGTGGGTCCGGATCTCCTGCTTGGTAGGATGTCTCCTCATTAAGTACCTTGGAAGTGCTCACCATGGCATCCAAGGTTGTTTTTTGGTTTTTTTTGTGTGTGTGTGGTTTTTTTTTTGCGGTACGCGGGCCTCTCACTGTTGTGGCCTCTCCCGCTGCGGAGCACAAGCTCCGGATGCGCAGGCTCAGTGGCCATGGCTCACGGGCCTAGCCGCTCCGCGGCATGTGGGATCTTCCCAGACCGGGGCACGAACCCGTGTCCCCTGCATCGGCAGGCGGACTCTCAACCACTGCGCCACCAGGGAAGCCCAGCATCCATGGTTTTAATGAAAGCAAAAATCAATGAATCTTTACCTGTATTCAGTGTTAGCTTTTGATTTGTTCCAGGTTAAAAAAAAGTTGATAATAATTATTATTGATTTATGAAAACTTAGACAAAACAATCATCTTTGAATTGCTTACCTCCTTTCCAGAGTGGGGTCTGGCGATAGATAACTGTGGTTTATAAAATATCTGATACGGTGTATTATTGATTATTGTAGTCTTGTCTTCAACCTGAATAATTTGTATGCCTTGCTGTACCATGGAGGAAATGCAGAACTGGCATAACTGCAGGACAATTGAGGAAAGAGTAATTTTTAAAATATTATATGGGTGTTGTATGAAAGGAGAGAAGGTTAGCACTCCCCTTGACAAGGATGGGAGAGGTGCATACAGTTAAGGCACTGCCACCTACTTCGTGGCATCTAACCACTGTTTTTTTGTTTATTCTGCCCAATCTTTAGAGTATTTTGACTCACCAATCATGTATTTCATCATTTAATGAAAATATTAACAACTTCTAAACAACAGAACATAATACATAAATTCAAATTAAATCTGATACTTAAGTGGGTGCTTCCAAAGGGAAAAAAACATCATATGGCATATAAAAACCTCTTGATTATTTTTAAAAGTCATTTTATCCATTGGTTTGCATAGGACAGTATCAATTTTATCTTCTGTTCCAGAGGATTTAGCAGAGTTCCCTTTCAGTCTCAAAATTGTCTTGGTCCCTAAAAAGGGTCACTATTTACTCTTCAACAGGGTGCTTTAGCAAACCGCCTACTTTTCCTGCTATTGTATAGTGACAGAGACTTGTTTTCAAGTTATTAAACCAATTTTTCCCTCACAAAATATTTATTTATAAAGCACTTATACATAAACAGATGTCACTTATCCTTTTCAACATAAAGAACTCAATCCAGCATTCCCCTTCTCATGCTCACCCTAGCAGCTATCTCACTGAATGTGTACCTGGACCAAGAGGACTTCTGAGAACTTAAATAATGATGACAATGTTGAAGAAAATAGTAACAGCTGACCCTCATATATTGCCTTCTTGTGCTCCACCTGTTGAAAGTACTTTATGCATATTAATTCACAGAATGCTCACTACACCCACATGGGGTAGCTACTATATTATCCCCATTTTACAGAAGAGAAAAAATGAGGCACAAAGAGGTAAGCAACTTGCCCAAGGTCACAAAGATAAAGAGGGTCTAAGGGTTGGAATTAGAAACCATGCAGACTGGTTCCCTGGTGCTGCTCTTAACGACGGTGTGTATCATCTCATTGTCCTATCACATTGTATGAGGAACTGATGCTCAGAGAAGGGTATTACGTGCCTAAAGATATCCATCTAGCAAGTGGTAACGTCAAGAAAGTTCTCAGAGTGTGGTCTGAGAACCCTTGGAGGAGATGGTCTTTGAGATTCTTTCAGGGGGCCCCAAGGTCAAAACTAATTTTAAAATAATAATAAGATGCTATTTGTCTTTTTCACTCTAATTTTCACATGAGCATACAGTGGAGTTTTCCAGAGGCTATATGACATATGATGTCATCATGCTTATGGCTAATGAAATGTATGTTTGTGAATTCTTGTGTTTAAAATTTTCTGTTTTAATTTCTAATTTGATAAATATCAAATAGATATAATCCACATAAACAAAAGGTTTTTTGGAGGTCCTCGGTATCTTTTAAGAGTGTAAAGGGGTCCAAAGACTAAAAAGTTTGAGAATCACTACTAGAGAATAATGAGATATAATAATAATATATTTTCCAACAGTTCATTCATTCCTTCACTAACATTTATTCGCACTTGCTGTGGCCACTTTGTGAGGTGCTGGAGGTACTGGGTGTTTGACTGTATATCATAACTTTTTTTCCAGGTTTTGATGGTAGTTCTCAACTTACAACTATTCAACTTTCGGTGATTCACGCTTACAGCTCTTTGCCATTTACACCCGTGTTACAGTATTTTGGCCGGCAGAGCATAAACATGTGTTGCCCAGACAACTTTGAGGAAATGGATACCAGCCTTGAATACTGAAGACCTACTACTTTGTATCAGAGAAATTTATTTTTAAAAAGTCACCAAATGACCCTAACTTTTCTCAGGAGGCTCTTTGAAGGTGCCTGTCAAAATCTAGCTTCTTCCCAGAGAAAGGTCATTCTGAATTATACTACTCTGATGAAGCATCCTTTCTTTTTCAGATTTGGGACAGCTAAAATAACGAAGATATCATTAAGTACAGCATGAGATTTCTACACGGTACTCTATGATACTTACTTCATACATACAGTTTAATGTGATTTGTTACCATATTATTCAGTTTAACTGGTTTTTACATACTACTTTAGAAAAGATTCATGTTGAAAAGCACATACCACTTATATTTAGTTAAATAACTATTTTTTTTCATTTTTCTGTATTCATCTTCATAAACATGAGTACCAGTCCGCTGTTCAATAACACAACTCCACATCATTTTGCTCAGGATGCCCTTTCCAGAAATATAAGCTTTGCTGCAGGAGCCTTTGTCCTTTCACTCAATACTCAGAATGTTAGCAGCTCTACCTCCTGCTCTAAAACAAGGAGGCCAAGTACAACTTGTGGATATTTGGGAATAAGTTCACTTTTTTCCCCTACTTACAATAAATCAAGTGACAGCTGAGTGTTCTGAAATAGAGAGGTTATTGGATAAACTATGTGACACAGCTTTTATCACTAGCAAAGGAAAAAAAAAAAAACGACTGTAAAACAGAGAGGTCTAAGAAATCACGTTACACTGTTAAAAATTGTTTGGAACAAGTAATACCAAAAAGGGATTAAAAAAGAAAAGGGTAGACTCATTTTAAACAGGTTGAAGGGATGGCATGCTATCCCCTGAGCCACACAGACTTTTATCGACTTTGATCTTACCTTCTGATGTCCTGGGAAAGCACCAAGTCTTATTTCGGCAGCAACAAACCCTTCTTCGTCCAATGACACAACTTCACCATTACCTCCATCTTTCCACTTTGGAGATGTCAGGTTATGGACCAGTTTAATTGCTACTGACTTGTGCACAGTGTTTGTATTTGCCCAGTATATTCCAATTTGAAAAGCTTCCTGGAAAAGTAATGCCTCAATTATAAAGTATTTTTCTTAACTTTGATATTTTTACCTCAATTCGTAGGAATTTTTTATATTATGTAATAGGTCTACTTAGGCAACCAAATCCCTTTTTTTTGGTAATGGCAACATACATTTTATTTTAGTTCCCAGTGCTTTCTCTGAATCACAATGGAATTCATATTTATTGAAGGAGGGAAAAAAAACATCAATCTAAACTGTGACTACCCTATATACCAAAGGCTTAAAAACTGAAGGTTTCATTTCATTTGACAAAAGAATAATATGCAACACTACGTACATGTAGGTCAACATCCCAATTCCTCAAGGTAACATCATATGATTATTTTTTTTAAAAAAAAGGAAAAATGCAATTGAGTAAAGATGCTTATAAACTGGAGTTCAAAAAAAAAGGACTCTCAAATTATTCCCTATCAGGAAAACATTTTATTTAGAAATTCCTTGTACTCTATTTTCTTACAGATTTATGTGCCTTCTTGAACTGGGCTAGCCTTATCAAGAAAGTTCTCCTGTAATGGAATATAAAATCTTCCTATGAAATTCTGTTTTACAATTAAGTTTTTCTTCCCTTGTTATTAATGATTCTATGCTGTTATCACTAACGGGGGGCATCCATGATTATGGACAGGCAAGTCCACTTATAAAGGAAAAGGGGCCTTGACAAAAATAGCTGTTCAGAAATCTTTACTTCTTATCCATCTTGCACATCTCTGAGAGTTTCTGTAAGAACCACAAAAATATCTAGGGGGTGGGTTAGCACAGAATATGGCTCTATATTCTTAACATATCCTGAGCAGGCAAATCCTAATACTTGTCAAACATCCTATACACAATGGAAATGAGAATGTAACTAGTACAAGTTATCAAATTTAATGATAACTCAAGCATGAATACTGCTGATGGGGAAAAAAAAAAAAGACATCTGAGATGTCTCTGAATATCAAAGAACATTCCATACCCCTTACATATGCATCTAGGAGGACAGTTTTCCACAACTGATTGATTCTGTTAAGAACATAAATGCAACCTCAGAATAAAAGCTGGTTGTTGAAAGGAAAGAATTCCTATTAGTTTAAAAAAAAAAGTTATAGTACCTGAAAATTAGGAGGGATAATAATTTTGCCAGCAGGAACCTGTAGAACAATCTTCTCTCCCTCAAACAGCCAGAGGTCCCACTTGGACTGATTGATGAGCAGGGCCCAGGGTAGCAGCTCTATCAACAAGGTCCTCACATATGGCTTCCAGGCTGACAGCTTCACTCGCATTGGGCTGTCCCACTGGCTCAGCTGCTCATTCCTGTGCCAAATACCACATCCAAGAGACTCAATGAAACATGATGACTTCAGGATTCATGAAATGTGTTTAAGGATTCCAGACACACAACGCTCCTGTATGACACCTCTTCACACCAGAGTCATGCAATGCTAAGTTTGCATCCAGGAGAAAGAAACTTTTCATGCAACTATGTTCGAGATTAAGAATGAAGCAATCTACGGAATACATCTACTAGGTGATAAAAGGTCAGAATCTGACAGACACATGCAAACATCTTTTTTAAAATGTTTTTATGGTATCTAAGATTTTTGTGAACAGTTATTTATTTCTTAATATTGAGAAATGTTTGTAGAAAAAGACTGCTAGAGAACATTACCTGTCAGAGTCCTTTTTATTATAGGGCCATGTGGGTTGAAGGGACTTTTCTGGCCCGTAGAATTCGTCAAGGGTCTGAGTAACTGTGCCTCCGGGGTGTATCTTAGTGGCTATTTGCTTAATGAGGGATGTTGAGATGGGAACAGCACAATGTGAAGGATCATCTTCTTCTCTAGGAAACGGAAAGAAAAAACAAGAATGATTATCAGATGTATCATAGACCAATATTTTTTTTGGTGAGAGTGAGTCAATTTTTGGTGCTTTAGGGATGATGACACAGTTTGGGGAATTATCTGGGCCGTGGCCTTTCCTCCCCAATGCTTGGGTGGAGATCTCTTGTTCCTCTACAGAAATTATGTGTCAATTACATTTTCTGATCATCCCTCTTATTTATATCCAAAGGGGCTGAATTTTATCTTAAACTGTAGAAGAGAATAAGAGAATACTAGGCAGGGCAATTTAAAAATAACATTCTCATAAGATAAGAAATCATACAAAAAACTCTATCCTCCCTTACCCCCTCAGCAGGACAAAGTTACTTTTCTACTGAATCTCTCTTAAGAAAATGTAAGGACTTTCCCAGTACCTTGCTTGAAATGTTAGGTGATGTACAAGGTCAGGTTCTATGTTTTGCAGCGGTTTTTCTTGTCCTTTTCCTGGAATAATTTGTGTTTCACTCAATCCCAGACTTCTTTTCTCCAAATGTATGATAATGGGGTCTGGAAGATGACTCCTCATGATAAAAAGAGGGCTGAACACAATCTATAAAAATAAAAGGACAGAACAACTTTCATATTTGCTTTGTTGCAGTATTCCAGCTGTTTGACGCTGAAACAAACTTGTAATAAATCTCTTCCCTGGGTCACTCTGACCTTAATTTATTTCAGAACAGGAAAGGTCAAAGCCATATGCCATATTTTAGGATTAGAAAGCACTTACCATTCGTTGTTGCACTTGAGAGCTGGGTTCTAAAGTCAAAACTGTGCACCAGACATAAATAAGAGAACTGTGTGAAGACGGCACCTGCACATGAGACAGAAAAGGGTTCTATTAAATACTAAACAGTTTACTAATTCATCAAAATAAGGCACAGATATAATATCCATTTGGAGGATACAAAAAGTTTGAAGTTACAGAAAAAAGCCATTTAAAAAAAAAGGATAAGCAAAAACAGACTTCATTATGGCATAAAGTGAATGTGCAGTGAGTCAATGGGGCCAATTCTTTCCGTAAAGATGAAGGGATTTGTATGTGGAGAGACTGATATAAGAGTGAGTGGGAGAACAAAAGAGAGGATTTGTCCTTTATGGGAATGAAAGTGATGATGGTGGAGATTGAGAAAGAGATAAAAAAGTAGCTGATCATCATAAGCTTCTCAAGTGGGGAGGACACCCTTTATTCCCTCCCGTCCCTCCAAAGCCCTTGTGCATCAGAATCTTTTTCAAGATATAAATCATCTCCATCTGGGAGGGGTAGAGTCTCGGCTACGAGAACGACTGGAACTGATACAAACGTGTTGTCGTGGGATGGGGATGAAAAAGTTTGAGAAATAATATTCAAAGCCTTTTTATACTATTTCAGGCCTCCCCTCTTTTGTACATATCATTTATTAATAAATTAAGTGCTGTACTGAATAAAGAACATAACGAGAAATTTAAAAATTTAAAGCTGCTCTATTCTGGATTGTACTACTTCTCATACCTGAATGACAACACTATACTCAGGGGTCTTGGATTCCAGACACACGTCTCTCGACCAATCTTCATCTCCTTTGGCCTTCACACACAACTCGGTCAGTTCGCTGTCTTCTAGTATGTACGAAGGCAATTTCCGTTTGGCTGTGAGGCAGTCAAAATGTTCTCGGACCACAGCTTGTCCATCTTGACCAATGTAATGCTGAACGACTTTTAGTTCTATGCTTTGAGACAAGTAACTACAGATAATCTGTCTTCCACAGATGATAATCTGAAAGACAATCAATCAATCCATCAATCAATAAGACTTCATCAATTCAGATTCCATGAATTGGAAATACAGGGAAACCTTGGAGATACGGCAGGTTTGGTTCCAGATCAACACAATATAGCAAATATTGCAACAAAGGGAGTTAGATGAATTTTTTGGTTTCCCAGTGCATATGAAGGTTAAGTTTACACTATACTGTAATCTATTAAGTATTCAAAGCATTATATCTATAAACATTTAAATACATTAATTAAAAAAATTTTTTTTGCTAAAAAATGCTAACCATCATCTGAGTCTTCGGCGAGTTGTAATCTTTTTGCAATAGTAACATCAAAGGTCACTGATCACAGATCACCGTAACAAAGATAATAATAAATGAAAACGTTTGAAATATTGCGAGAATTAGCAAAATGTGACACAGAGACACGAAGTGAGCCAATGCTGTTGGATTGCTTGATGCAGCGTCGCCAAAAACTTTCAACTGATGAAGCGTTGCCACAAACTTTCAACTGATGAAAACGTAGTATCTGCAAAGCTCAATAGAGCAAGGCACAATAAAACAAGGTATGCCTTGTTCAGACAGAGTAAACTATGCTGATTTTAATGGAAAGAAAATGAAATCGTTAGCTTATTTAGAGAGTACAAGAAGAAAAAGAGGCTTCCAAGAAGAGAAGGGACTTTGCTTTGGTCATGTTGAGTTTGCAGAATTCAAAGGACAGACATGTAGGCAGGATCCATGCCCAGCTACAAAGGCTGGTCATGTGCTTGAGAGTGAAGGTGGGACTGGAGATGGAAGACTTGTGAAATTAAAGCCTCACAAATGTGTGCGGACAGGAAGACAGTTTACCTGGAAAAGAGGGTGGAGGCTCAAACCCAGTAACTGACCAAGACTTTAGGTACAGACTCAGGGTGAGAAGTCAGAGAAGGGACGAAGGAGTGTCAGGAGAATGCAGGGTTGCTGAAGCCATGAGAGAAGAGACTGACTGGAAGGTGGTGGTGGATGGTATTGAACAATGTAGCAGTCAAAAAGGAAGGGGACTGGAAACAAGACTTCAGCTCTCATAGCTGAGATGACAATTGTGATCAATTTATTCCCTGCGGCTGATTTCCAAGGGTTTATTGCACTCTTATGCAATACGAAATCTCTGTATAAACTGATAATACAAACAACTTTTAACTCAGAAGCCTAATTATATTTTATCTTATTCAAGTTTTCCTTATAGCATAGAAGCGTTATCTTTATAAAACACACAGAATTATCCACTAAATCCATGTATCATTTAACTTTTCATCCAGCTAAGAGTATAGTTCAGAGCAGGCGTTAAGAAATATCTCTTAAATTGGTGGAAATTGAAAAGATAACACAAAATTTACTCCTCTGCAGTGAATACTTTTAGAAAGCAAATCCTGTGCAATATGAATTTTCACCATGACTGAGGAAGACAGGACTGTCACATACTATTTTCCTTATTTGTAATATTTTTCCAGGTTATAAAATGTATACTAAGTAATACATGTATAGCATGTATGTCTAAGGATATGATGGTTAATTTTATGTGTCAACTTGAATGGGCCATGGGGTGCACAGATATTTTACTCAAACATTACTCTGGGTGCGTCTGTGAAGGTGTTTCTAGATGAGACTAACATTTGAATTGGTAGACTGACTAAAGCAGACTGCTCTTCTGAACATGGGTGGGCCTTACCATATCAACTGAAGACATGAAAGAACAAAGAGCCTGAGTAAGAGGGAACTCCTCCTGTCTCACTGCTTGAGCTGGACACTGGTCTTTTCCAGCCTTTGGACATGGACTGAAACATCAGCTCTTTTTGGTACACTAGCCTGCTGGCTTTTGGACTGGAACTACACATCAGCTCTTCTGGTGTTCCAACTTGCAGATGGCAGATCTTAGGACTTCTCAGCCTCCATCATCGTGTGAGCCAATTTATAATAAATCTCTCCCTCCCTTTCTCTACGTACGTATATATGTATATGTGTGTGTGTACACACATACACCCTACTGGTTCTGGGTTTTTTTTTGGAGAACCATGACTAATACAAAGTATTTTCACAAATTATCTCTTTTATTCTCACAGCAACTGTTCCTGGTGAAGTTAAGGTTCCCGCTTTGTTGCAGAAGAATTTGGAGATGAAGTGATAGGTAAGAGGTGGATTTATTTAGAGAGAAACACACTCACAGACAGAGTGTGGGCCATCTCAGAAGGCGAGAGAGCTTCTAAATGTGGCATGGTTAGTTTTTATAGGCTGGGTAATTTCACGGGCTAATGAGTGGGAGGATTATTCCAACTGTTTTGGGGAAGGGGTGGGAATTTCCAGGAATTGGGCCACCGCCCACTTTCTGACCTTTTATGGTTGGCCTCAGAACTGTCATGGTGCTGGTGGGTGTGTCATTTAGCACGCTAATGTATCACAATGAGTTGTATGATGAGGCTCAAGGTCTACTGGAAGTCGAATCTTCTGCCATCTTGGACCCAGTTGGTTCTAAACAGTCTTTGTCATGTCCTATGGCTATGTCATTCTTTTAAAGGTTGTGCCCTGCCCCCTTCCCTCCTGTTTCACAACCACATAAAACAGGTGCTACAATGACTCCTCATCTTAACAAGGAAAAAACCAGAAGCACAGAGATGGTGAATAACTTTCCTGATGTTACCCATGTTACCCAGATGGTCTGGCCCAGAGTCTGTGTTGCTCACCATCCTGTCTGTATCTCATAAAATTAATACCTACTAATTAAGAAAACAGAATATGGTTTGGTACAAGCTAATTGTGGTAATTCCATTACCACAGTTGGTACAAGCTAACTGTGGTAATTCCATTACCTCTTTGCTAATGATTAGTTTAGGGGTGAACATGGAGCTCTGTTTTGGCGAATAATATAAAAAAGGAAGACTGCTAAAAGGCTCTGGGAAAGATTTTACTCTTTGATAATAAGGGAGACAATTTGAGAAGGGAAAACCCTCCTTTTTTTTTTCTGCCATGGAAGATGTTAGGAGAGGATATAACTTTTGTAGCCATCTTGAGGACAGGAAGGCAAATTCAAGAGGACAGCAGAGAAGCAGATACAGTACTGAGTTACTTAATTAACTAACCAACATCCGAGTCTCCCTTCTTCCTTTTTGTTATGTGAGATAATAAACATAAAATAGGAACAATAATAGTATCTGCCTCCTTAGCTTTCTATGAAGATTAAAAACCCTATTTTGTAACTTCAAGCTGAAAGCATCCTAATTGATACATTTTCCTATGTCATTAGGAGTACTTTGCAACTATCATTTTAAACAAAACTATTATTTACACACAAAAAATGTGAGCAACTATGAACTATTATTTACCCCAAGCAAATCTGCTAGATTGACAGACCAAAAATTAAAGTCATTGTTGTTTCAACTTGCATTATTTGAATAGTGAGGTTTAGCATTTTCTTAAACATTTATTTTCCAACTATCTACTCCTCTGAATTTTCTTCAGAAGGAACACATCTGTAAAAACCAAGCTATGCTTAACTGTTACATTTCCCCTAGATACTCTGGACATTATAATCTCTTAAAACAATATTTTCAAAATAACAAACATGGAAGTCCACTGAAATATGAACACAAGATTTTCTCTAGCATATGTAGACTAGACACTCATGATAAGCCTTATGACGCCATAGCATTGCCCAACTTTGAATAAACAATAGAAAACTCTGAGGCAGTTTTTAACTCCGTTCTTATTCCGATGTGTCCAGGCCTGGCAATGTGTGCTCAGTGCTCTTGTTTCAGAACCTTTGGGCCCCATGAGATTTAGGAGAGGATTTGGCTGTCTCTCACAGAAACCACAGAATCTCTGCAACCATCTGGGACTCACTTTGTTTAAAGACAAAGATCCTCTTGGTGGGTTTTTATAGTTTCATTTTGAACCAAAAAGCCTGTTAAATAGGCTTTCAAATTTGATAAAAAGAAAACCCTTAAAAGTGGCCAGGGAGGGAAGGCTACTTAGATGAAGGAAAATCCAAAATGGCTGCTCCTTGGCGTGGGGCTCTTCATGGCTGCCCCCTCGCAGGGTTCAGTGAAAGCCATGCCTGCTTTTCTTCAAAGTGGCAACACTTACAATGCCGTTATTTTGAAAATTATGGTTAGAATTTCAAGATTAATTTATCAGTTGAAGACAGCTACTTAATTTTTTTTAATGTAGGGTTTCTCTTTAATACACATTTCCAGGTTTCACACTAATTCCCCTCTTTCCCCAAAGCCACAAAGATGTGTATTGAAGATCTCCACATATGATTTTACTTAGCAGGTTTCAGAACTCTTATTAGATCAGTGCCAAGAAGAATAGCGATATTAAAGAATAACTCCAGAGCACCAGATGCACTGGAAAATGATATCCTAACCATGATTAAAAGTGTATGTATAAAGATACAAATATATATACATACATTCATATGTACAGTTAGGTTTTTAGAGTGGTAAAGCTTTCCTCAATAAAGGGATGGAAAACACGGAAGCAAATACATGTGCATGAGTAGTGGTATAATGTACAAAGTCCCTGAGAAATTTTATGTGTGGTCAATTTTCACTGAATTGGGGAAATGAGAGGGGTGCAGGAAAGGCAGGTACAGGCAACCAAACATCATTGTTCAAGCAAGCTTTAGCCAATTCTCCATTGTCCCGTGGTGTATTAATGCAGTTAAGGTATATCAGAGAGCTACACACACTCTCCTCCCCAAATGGGGCTTCATAATTAGGCAGCTGCGGTTTATTGCAAATTTCCAGGCCCAGGTGGGGTAGCAGGAAAGAAGCGAAGATGTGAGGGAGGCAGGAATCTACGAAGCTCTTCTGGAAGCTTGGTTCCTATCTTCCTAACCTGGCCAACTGAGGAAATCCTGTCTGATGTACTTTAACTAGCGTTAATCTGAATGTTAGTTAATCTACCCTGACAATAAAACAAAATCCAATTTAAAAAGAAATAATACATTTTTGCGTGTGTGTGTGTGTGTGTGTGTGAGAGAGAGAGAGATAGATAGATAGAGAGAGAGAGACAGAGAAAGAGAAAGAGAAAGACAGACAGAGAGGGGGAAAGAGACAGAGAGGGAGGGAGAGAGGGTAAAGGCAGAAAAACACTGACTAGAAAGGTTTTTTACAATGTTGACACATGCAACAGTTGGTTTGAGGTTGGCATGGTGGTCTGCTGAACCTCGTATTACCTGGGTTCAGTATAACCCACTTTCCATTTGCTTCATTCTAGGTTAAACGAATTGCTGTTTCTGTGTTCTAATTTTCCCCGCTCTGCTAAGTTTATTTTTTAAAATTTTTTATTCATTTATTTATTTTATTCGACAGGTTCTTATTAGTTATCTATTTTATACATATTAGTGTAAACATGTCAATCCCAATCTCCCAGTTCATCCCCCCCACCTCCCGCTGCTTTCCCCCCTTGGTGTCCGTACTCTGCTAAGTTTTTTTAATGGCCCCAATATAGAGCTCAATCTCATTTGACGATGACAAGAAATGCTACAACTCAAAATATAGTTATATGTGTGTATACCTTCCATGATAGTGGGAATGTAAAATGGACTTTCCTAGTTCCTGTGGGAAAAGAAGACACTTCCTCTCAAAAAGGTAAATGCAATGCAAGGGCTGGTTATGCTTCCATTATTGCTCTCCAAAGATTCCTTTCCTATTTGGCTAGATTTGACTTCTTTTTTTTAAGAGTATTTATTATAAATGAGGTAGAAGCAGAGAAAAGCGTGAGAGGCATTCCCCACAGAAAAGGATTATTAACATTTACCAGTACAAATAACATTTGGAAAAGTTCTGAAATGTGATTTGGCACCAGAAGCCTTAAAATCTGTATATTTGACATTAACAGAGAGAGTGATTAAAAGAACTACTTAACTTTCAATGTATGGAAATTTTTTTTAGTTCTGATTTGAACCCCTCATAAATATTTAAGATTTAAAAAATGCTAATGGTTTGAAAAACTCAGGAAATCAGCAGAAGTTTTAGAACAAATACATATTTAATTATTTAAAAGATTAGTGTAGCCCCAACAAGACTCTGCTAAGACAAAACGATGAATTTTGTCTAAGGAATAAAGTACATCTTTTTAATTTGGGAATGTGCATCAGGCACCACAAACACATTCATATCCTTTGTGCAGGTAACTAAATTTTATAGCCATTTATTTTAAGGACAGACTCAGAAATTTGGACATATATTTATACACCAAGATATTTATTTAAGGATCTATTATAGTAACCAATTGGAAATGAACTAAATGTCCAACAACAAGGAAGTGTCTACATGGGGTTAGATATACCATATGGTAAATCACTATGCAACCATTAAAGGGATAACTTCAGGAATTTTAAATAACATGAGAAAATAAGCATTATATAATGGTAAGGGAAAAACACAAGTTGAAAAACTGTAATTACAATCAGAGTTCAAGTTGGTTAAAAGGTATCTGCATAGGAAAAAAGAGCAGAAAAAATACACCAAAGTAATAATAGAAAATATTTTTTGGTTGGTAGATTTATGGGTAATTTTAGTTTTCTTCATTAGGCTCGTCTGTGTTTCCAGATATACTTTATAATAGTTAACATAAAAATAACACTGTGAACTAGTATTTCTTGGGTGCTTTCTTTTACAAAAGGAATATGAAGCATAGAAAGGTTAGGAAATGTGCCTAAGGTCATAGAGGTAATAAGTACTAGGACTGAGAAATCTTTTCCAATCAGAAAAAAAGTAGGTAAAGTTTTGTGAGATTTAAAAAAAAAAATGTGTTTTTCATGACCAACTTTTTGGGCTTATGATATACTGTTGCAATAGTATCTGCTCAGGTACATTGCATGTATCAATTTATCCCTGAAATTTAATATCATTTCGTGAAAGTAGATAAATCTATGGCAAGAATGAGGCATTAATATAGCAACACAAAAAAGTCCAACCAGCATTACTTATGCCTGGGAATAGTTCATTATTTTAATTGTAAATAAAATTTATTGGATGATGACAATGGGCCAGGCACTGTTGTAAGCACTGTACATAAACAAACTCATTTAATTCTCATACCTAGTTCACGAGGGAAAGCACTATTATTACTATTCCCATTTTAGAAAAGTGATTCACAAAGGTTAGATAACTTGCTGATGATCACGCAGCTAGCAAGGTTGCCTGTGATCTTAACTACCAAGGACATTCCTTGAAAAGATTTCTCCACGGAAGGACCCTGCCTTTCCACTGACTGTTAAATGTTCTAGCAACCACATGCCAAAGACTTGAATGAATTGGGAAACTTCAGACCAGAGCTGTGGTGGTCAAAACACCTAAGAACTTGTTAGAAATACAAATTATCATGCTATACCAAGACCTGTTGAATCTGGAACTCTGGGGGTGGGACCCAGCAATCTGTGCTTTAAGAAGTCCTCCAGGGGATTCTGATATATACTCAAGTTTGAAAACCACTAGCCTAGAGGGAAAAAAACTAAGGGGAAATATTCTACCTTCTCTCATGTTTTTGGAGGGCTGTAACCTAGAGGAGAGGTAACGAGTTGTGTGCTTTTTGCATATGCCTCACAAGTTCTGAGGAATGGTAAAAACTGGCTGAATGGTGACAGATTTTGGCTCAAAATTAGGAAAGAATTTCATTAACAGCTGCAAGTAACCAACAATGGGAAGGGCTGATGTGTGAGAGAATGAGACTCTCATCATTTGGAGTATTCAAACAGATGCTGTATGACCTTTTCTCAGGCATGCTGGTGAATGGGACGGTAGACGAGGCATTCTTGAGAGACCATGAGCGACAGAATCAGAAAACCAGTGTGTATTGGGCAGATATTTGTTGAGAGCATATCCATGTAAGAGAGCTCTAAGGGCAGATAGGAGAGACACTTCTTGTTCTTATGACTTTCCAGCTCAAAGCCCACACTAGCCACACTGGTCCCCTCATGAGTCCTTGGGTAAGACACATTTGTCCCATATTTGTATCTTTATTTATCCTATACTGCTGACCTGGAATGCCCTCTCTTAATCTAAATTCGACATGTTTTGTAAAGCCCAGCTCAAGTCAAATATTCTTAGTGAAACCTCTAAATTCCTTTCACACTTACTGTCAGTCGTACACATTGTTGGGTTTATGTAAATTTACATTTTAAGAGCAAAGATTCTGTTACATACTTAGTGTCTTTCATTTTTCTCTGTTCTACAGGAGGCAATCAACAAATACTTGGAGGAATGGTCAGTTGACTGGGAAGACTCTCCCATGCTCCTTGTCTGAGACTCCTCTGCTATAGGTTTCTTTTCACTTCTGCTGCCCACAATAATGAGAACATGAAGTCCAGCTCCCTGATTAGGTGCAGGCCAAGAATGTATATGGTATAGGTCCTACTGTTCACCTCACCAGTTGCTTCCTGCCTGCCCCCGGCATACAGCAATGGAGTAGCCCCAGGTGCTCAATATGGAAAGCTCCCTTTTTCCTTTTCTAGGGACTGAGTGCTGTCTCTATCACGTCCTCAGTTCACATAAGCTCTGGATAGACTGTTACAATCCAGATGCAGATGTATATGTTAAAACTCTTATGACAAATCCAGTTATTATGTGTGCAGTGAAGCCAGTTTTCAGATTTTAATACTTCCTTTTTTTCTTTCTACTCTTGTCATATGCTCCATGCTTGAAAAACATCTTTTAAAAACCACATTTTCACATCTTAAGAACACAAAAAAGTGTCAGATACTTTTTTTTCCCCTTTGCAGTCTTAGAACTTCAAAAACAGCCAAAAGGAAGTTTTATAAAATATATAAAAATATGTGCTGAGAGCTGAAGTTTTATATGCCAAGAGTTAGACTGCAGTGAATTTTTACTGCAGTTAATATTAACTCCTAGGAAAAGAAAGCTTGCTGGAGACCCACCAGGCCCACTCTGTCATGGGAGAGAATCACAAGACTTTCGTGCAGGTTATTCTTACGTGTATGAGAGTCAACTCCTGGTTATCCACTGTTGGATTATCCAGAGTCCCCACCATCCCTGATTTCTTTTCCTTCTCAGTAAAGACGCTTTGGCCATTTCACAGCTCATTAGCACCTCCACCAGAAGGTAGGTGGTGACAGGGAGAACAGGTGAAATGAAAATCAGTAAAGTTTACTGCTTGTTAGCAGCTCTTGTAAAAGACATGGGACAAGGGGGTATGAAGCCATCATCATCCTCAGGAACATCAGAAAGAACTTATTAAGTGCTCGTGTGCATGGTAGGAGTACGCATAGCTGGGCATGGCAGTGTGATTTTTTTTTTATTGATATTTTCATTTCTTTAAGTTTCCCTTCCATTAATTACATCAAATGATTAAGAGTTGTCTGGGCCATGAACACAAAGAAGCTTACCTGTTTTTGTACTCCACTGAGTTGCTGAACCTTGATGATCAGTGAAGCAGTTCGACCCTTGTACTGAATAGTTCTAATAAAAGTCCCAGCATGGTCCACACTGAAGGGCTCTGACCAACGCCAATTGCCCCAGCCTTCAATACAGATGTGTAACAGCTGGAGAGAAAAACAACACTCGTCATAATGCCAAAAGTGCCAACAAAAACTAGCCCTAAAATGAAAGTCTCATTGCTGGAAAACCTTCCTATCTGTAATATTTAGCATCTGTTTTCTTTCTAACCTGCATTATTCATCCACTTCCAGCTTATTCAACCAGGCTAAGAATAGCAAATATGCCACATAGAGTCAATGTGGTTTTCCAGATCACATTTTAAACCTTCTTAAAAATAACTGTCCTATCAAATGGTAAAAGGCCTGTTGAACATTTGAGGAAAGACCATTTCATTCATCTGGAGGACAAGAAGGCTGAAATGTGAGATCAAAGAATCGTGGTCTTGGCTGGTAGTTTATTCCTTCTTCTGGCTAGACAGTAATTAAAGCTAAATTTGGCTTGTAGCATTATTTTTGACCCTAAATTGCCATTCCTTATTTTTTCTTTTGATTAAGAACAAAACAGAAATTTGAAGATGCAGTTCATTTAATACAGTCTACTTATGAGATCACATATATCAAATTAGAAATACCTTTAACATTTTGAATGTGTGAGAAAATGTCTCTGTTCTACTTTTTTCTAGCATGTATTTATTGTTAACTTTCACCAGTTGAGTCTCCTGATCCACATTCACATTTATTAATGCAGTATTGCCACTTTTGGTAATATTTAGATTTCTTTCATGGTCATCAAATATTTTCTATTTCTACTCCTACCCACTAACTGCAATTAAGTATTCCAAACTTAATTCCACTAACTGAACAAGTATTCTAAAACAACAATAATGCCTGCTTCTTTAGGATACATATTTAAATGAAAACAAACAATGTTCTATATGATTACTAAGTATAAGGAAATAAAACTGACATTTTAGGAAAAAGATTTAGATATACAAACTTAACATTTTCCTTCATATAATATATAATTTTTTTAAAAGAGCTAACCAAAGGCTAATCACATGAAACATTTTCCAAATTAACAGAATGAATAAAACTTTGAAAATATTATGTAAGAGCTATCATAATAGGCTCTTAAAATAAATACATTAAGGACTTACATGGGAATCGCCATAACAATAGAAGTTTTTTGATGGAAACATTATTTTTTAGTTTTAGCTTTGGGAGGAACCCTTATAAAGTGCTTTAATTTGAAAATTTCCCAGGGTCACTGGTCATCACAATGTGATTTTTTTGGTGGAAAACTGAGAGGGTTTTTTTGTTTTTAAATATCTTAAAATATTAAAAAAACTCTATCTCACCTCCCTGCTTTTAATATGGCCCCACTCCAGTTCGTCCTCCATAACATCGCCAGTGATCCTGTGAAATCAAAAGGCTACCACTCAGATGACTTCTAAAAAAGAAGTCTAACAGCTAAAAAAAGAAAAAAAAATTCCTGGACAGCAAATAAAATACCTTTAGGGAAAATGTGATTTTTATATACATTCTTTAACATAAAAGTACCAGAGTATCTTTGATGTTTAAATATTAGTTACAGAAAAAAAAAAGAAAAACAATAGTGGTGTTTGGAACCATTTCAGTTTTTTGTAGCAGCAACTGGGAATAAAGCGCAGGGTACACACAAAACTAAAAGAAACAAAGAAAGTTGTTTTCTTTGGAGAGACTAGTAGCTGGAAATGACAAAAAAATAATGAGGTAAGGTACTTAAGGTCAAGCTCAGCTGTATTTTTCTTGAAAATTCCACAGCCTCTAAAGAAAGTTTTAATGTACACAATGTAATTTTAATTGAGGAGTGTTCACATTTGCATCTGAGCTCAGTTTTAGGTAGCTCACTCTGTGCACACAGCTTTTAATGACTGAATGTCACCAAGGAGTATGCTGGCAGGTTTCGCTTCGCAGCTATTTGTTCTCAAAATGTTGGCACATATATTTTCTTTGAATTATGAAAATTCAGATACATTTGGAATTAGTTCACACAGAAAAGTTAAGTGGGAGAAAAACATGACGTTTCTCCCCACACGCATGACCAACAGAATATTTGTAATGTTTGGCTTACAGTTAAAAAGCATCTAAATATCATTGGCAATTATATATATATAGTTTAATAGGAAAGGAATGACATTCCTTGGAGAGAAAATCTTCAAATAGGAATTCAGGAGGCCTAGTGGTACTTCAGTCCTCCTTCCCATGGTGTAAGTGATTTGGGCACTAGACAGGGGTGCTCAGGTATGCCTGGACATCAAGTGAGGGTGGGAAGTTCTGTTCCTGTTGGACCAATCTGCTCTACTTCACTGCTATGGGTACTGAAAAGTCTCCATTTAATAACAAATACTCATATACCTGTTTTTATTTCTATACTGAAGAAACTATAAAATCAGGCATAAAAATGTGAAATTTGTGTTAGACTGCCTAATCCTAATGAGACTTCTTTCTATTATTCATCCAATACAGTTTTATTATTCAGATACTATAAGGAAGGCAATATGCTAAGAACTATAGAGGAAATAAAGAGAAGAGCTTTGGTCTTTGTCCCACAAGGAGCTTAAGATTTTACAGGGAAAATAAGGCATGCATAACCAACCAACAAGAGGCATTATGAGAGAAGTCTAGAGAAGAGAGGGCTTGTTTAGGCTGCTGTGACTGGGAGAGCTTCTTGAAGCATTTGGGTCTCAGAGTTTGGGTAGGATTTCAACTAGTAAGGATGACAGTCATTTCTGGGCCAAGGGGACAATCTGAGAGGTGAAGCCAGAAGGTTTGCTTGGGGCAAAGTTAATAGTCTCAACTGGTTGGAGGAAAGGGAACATGTAAAGAAGAGTTAGGGATAAGGTCAGAGAAGTAGATCTAGATTGTGGCCAACACTGATGATTTACTAAGCTAAGGAATTTGTGCTTTATTCAGGAATTAGCCTTCTGTATAGATGAGCAATGTGTTGAAAGGATGGTGAGAGCAGAGTGTGGAGGTCAGGACAACTGCAACAGAATGAGAAACAGGAGCAAGGAAGCAATGGGCTTAGCAAAATATTACTATCCATTCAATGGCCTGGAGTCCAAGATATCTTTAATGTTCTCTTATCAATTTGGAAATTTTCTTTCCCCTTTTTTCTATTAAGTTTCCCTTACGGACTCACTTCCTTCACCACCTTTTCCATTCAGGCTTTTCACTCTCTGTGGCCTACTTAGCTAGTGTCTAATATTTTCCATTGTGGGGGAAAAACAAAGTCAAATACGAACCACTCTTGTTTGAACTTCTCAATGGGAACTGAAACTAAGTATAAGGCAGGTTGTACAGTAGCCACACTCAATGGAAGGTCTCAAGGGGCTACATTTATTTTTTTCTAGCAGACCCTCCCACTCCAGGGCTGCATTGGCAGCAAGATTAAATTCCACTGAAGACCTCAAATGGGAGCATAGAACTTTCCACTCATTTTTCTGAATAAAAAATAAAACTTAAACTGAATTACTGATCAGGGGCTTGGGGATCAGCTCTCAGGACCACCCACAGGTACATCCAAGGGAGAATTCCTGAATCGACAGATTACAGAGGAAAGAAAAACAAGATGAAATCTAGGATAATAGGGTACACCAAGGAAGAGAAACAGAGAGGGGATGGTTAAGAAAAAATTTTAAATTGTACCTTAAATATAAATGAAGGTACTAGATACTTTTCTGTGAACTTTACTTCACTATTTATTTTAAAATTGTTATCAAGATGATTTCTACTTAATCAGAAATTGAAAGTTTGTCTTCAGAGTCACTTGTATATTTTTTGCATTTTACAGTAACTTACTGTACAGTAATATGTAATGTTCTACAAAGAAAGTGAAAATTACATAACTTCAAAATATTTCTCCAGGGACTTCCCTGGTGGTGCAGTGGTTAAGACTCCACGCTCCCAAGGCAGGGGACCTGGGTTCAATCCCTGGTCAGGGAAGTAGATCCCACATGCATGCCACAACTAAGAGTTCACATGCCACAACTAAGGAGCCCGCGTGTCACACTAAGGAGCCCGCCTGCCGCAACTAAGGAGCCCACCTGATGCAACTAAGGAGCCCGCCTGCCGCAACTAAGGAGTCAGTGAGCTGCAACTAAGAAGCCCACCTGCTGCAACTAAGACCCGGTGCAACCAAATAAGTAAATAAATAAATATTAAAAAAAAAATTTCCCTAATCCATTGTATTGTCTGTAGAAATTTTAGGACTTCTAAAAAATTAATGTGAAATGCAAGTGAAATAAGCTACTGAATACATATATATATATATAAAATAAACATATAGTATATAATGTATATTTATATATATATTAAAGCTTAAGCATCATATTTGTTTTTTAAACTTCTAAACTCATATCTATATCCCAAGAGCTTAGTGCATTGTAGGCATTCAATAAAATATTTGTTGAATAAGTGAATCAGGATTATTGAAAAATAACCCAAAGTAGATATTCAAAACTTTTAGTGGCAATATTTGTGCATAAAATAATATCATAAAATGAGAATCAAATCAAAATATTCAGAAACAGTTCCTATTTTGAATGACCTTTCAATACGGGAGATTTGCTTTATGTGGATAACAATAGTAGATTAAACTATAAATCAATGCAATCCCTCAGATCTATAATTCAGACATTGCAATATTGATATTAAAGCATAAAGTAGAGCCCAAATGATACACTAGATGAGCATCACGAGGGAAAATTAAGTTAAAATATTAAAACATTCTTGTCTATCTAAAATAATATCTGAAAAGCTACAGATCAAATTAAACAGATCAGTGTTAAACTGCTTGTTTGGAATGCATAAGTCGAACTGATAGTACATTTCACACCAATAAACTAACACGAAAGCAAAATAAAATATGTTGCTCATTATTCCTTTTTTTAAGGCAGTTGAATTTCAGGATGTTCAGAGTATCTGAAATAATGCTGAAAACCAGGTAGAAAAATGTCTAGATAATTGCTAACGCTTGGTGTCACTCTGATTCAATATTGGAACTCTTAGGACCCTATATATCCTTTTACTTTTACAGAGCACAACCTAAAAGAATGATAAAG